CCCCAAAACCCCAAAACCCCAAAACCCCAAAACCCCAAAACCCCAAAACCCCAAAAAACTTAATAAAAATTGAAATAAACCAGGAGTAAAAAATGGAAAGAGCCCCGCCTAACCAATCTAAGAACATCGCCTTGCTAGAATACAGTTGGGATAACGGAGATGAAGTATCCAATTACATCGCTACAACGCTGAAAGAGTACCTCAACATGAAACTGGACCCTAGTGAGTCACTAGAGATAGAGGCAAAGCTAGGCATAGTGATTCCTTCGCAGGAGATAAATATCTCAGATCCCTTCTACAAGATCTGGAGTATCCCAAATGGGTTGATCCTTCCTGAACAGAAGTTTATGTCCAGCACCTGAAATAAAACCCTCTACTACTTCAACCCAGGAGTGACAAAGGAGAAATTTGACCTCCTCATAAAGATTTTCTCAAAAGAATGTGAAAAGAGGAAAGACCAGATCCCTGTTGACCGAGACGAGGGCACCATCGAGAGATACAAGCAGGAGTACCTGATCAACGACCTTGGCACTACTTATCGCATAGATAGAATGTTCGATGACGGCACTCGTCAGACCTATGATGAGGATGAGCTCAAAGAGTGAATTAAATAAGCATAAACTCAAACACATTAACTACTGGAACCATGGCAGAGATTTCAGAATTACAATTTCTGTAGAAGAAAAATGTGAAGAGACCAAGTCCTTCAAGATTGTCAACACTAGACACAAAACCAGACGCACTTTCCAGTTCAAGTGGATGAGGTTTGATTTCACTGAATCTGCTGAAGAAGACATGAATGGGAAGAAATCAGAACCAAAATATGAGATTGAGCTTGAAATCTGAGACACAAAGTTCTTCAATCAGCCAGATTTCGTAATATATACTAGGCTTGCCTCGCGGTTTGTCCAAAACATCTATTCACTGACAAATGCACTGAGCAATGGAGAAGAGATATTCTATGACAGTACGTGACAACCAGATTTAGACAAAGCTTATAAAGAAGCCTATGAGACTGAGGTTATGCCAATAGTAGGAGATTACTTATCAGCAAAAGCATTTGCTGATAAAATGACTTAATAAAAATAAACGAATATTTCTATTAATTTACCTCCTGAGGGGTTTTGGGGTTTTGGGGTTTTGGGGTTTTGGGGTTTTGGGG